TAACACATCTAAACTCCATCTTAATGCCACATTAACACATCTAAACTCGATCTTAATACCACATTAACACATCTAAACTCCATCTTAATGCCACATTAACACATCTAAACTCGATCTTAATACCACATTAACACATCTAAATTCTATCTTAATACCACATTAACACATCTAAACTCTATCTTAATACCACATTAACACATCTAAACTCTATCTTAATACCACATTAACACATCTAAACTCCACATATAATGGTGCTCCTGATGTTTTATTAATGTTAGGTTTTAATTCTTTGATTCTTAGCCCTTCGAGATGTTTCCTTTTGTTTAGATTTTTGCTCTATATTCAATGCTTTAATGTTTTTAAAGCTTATTTCGTGTTCTCTCTTAATCATATGTTCATTTATGTTTGGCTCTTTTCATTTTTCAGTGGTATAACGTCTCGATCCTTTGGCACAGCGGTATGTCTGCGGACTTACAACGCTAGGATCCGGATTTCGATACCCGTGGCGGGCAGAGCACAGATAGCCTACTGTGTAACTTTGTGCTTAATTACAAACAAACAAACTGAAAATACGGAGCGTTCGATATGCAGCCCGACATGCTAATCACTAGGACACCCCCAGACCACCTTAGAGCAATAAAATCACAAATACACTAGCTAATTGCACGCGTATTTGAGTTTATAATAGCACTCAATTTGTTTATATTTTATTTTGAATTTCGTGCAAAGGTACGCAAAGACTACCTGGGCATAGCTGCTCCTAATTTCTGAGATGATAGGCCGGAGGTAAGGTAGCTAGTCAGCAGCACCTACTACCGCCTTTTGGACTTCCCTTGTCTGATCGAATAGTGGGATTTGACTGTCACTCTTATAATGCACTCATGGCTACACAATGCTGAGTGCGCTTTGAGAGCAACAGATTGTGAGCTATGAATCCTCATATTCACAGTCCGAGCACGCTAACCTCTGGGCCCAATAGTAAAAAAATCTTAACTTGCCTGAAATGATAATTAATGTTTTAATGGAACAAATGTTCTTCTAAAATGTCGTCAACGTTTTTCTTTATGGCGGAAAGTGCCAAACTTTTGCCATAATTTCTAGCTTTTATAAACGATTCCATAAATCAAAATTTCATTAAATATTCCAAG